TGAACAGACTGGGAATGACAGGGTTGGAATATCAGTTTTTTCATTAAATATCCTTCATATATTCAAATTCTGAGCCATTTTTTGTTGGTAAATTGTTAATGTGAGACATCGTTGAAAACTGTCATTGGACTCTTACATTGCTTGCATGTCTCATTCTATCGGTCCATTGATAATCGCTTTCCAGTGTTAAGTATTTCTAAAACAATCAGTAAATTAACAGAAATTATGCCAGGCAGTGCTAGATTTCTGGAATTTTAAAAGCCTTGAATTAAGAATCAGACCTGACACAACATTGTAAACTGACTATAACTCCATTAAAAAAAAGAAGAGAGAGAGAATCAGAACGGAGTTCAAGTCCCGCAGTCTCAGTGCTGTCACTCACCTGCAGCTGTGTGGTCTTGGGCATATCCAAAAACCTGAGACCAGCTCCTTATTTGTAAAAGGGGGCCTAGCAGCTGTTCTTGTGCAAATCACAATACCCTTGTAAAAATCTGATAAAAACTGTAAGATACTTAACCTTTTAGAAGTGGCTAGAGATTATGTTGAGAGCCCTTAAGTCTTTGCTTGTTTTGCATGTTTTTGTTTTGTCAAACCCCCATACCCCAATCTCTTTCAGAGCCCTAGCAACTAAAAGAGGAGCTACTTTTTTTAATGAAGTACTGGGGATTGAACCCAAGATCATGTGCATGCTATCTAAGCATGCACTCTACCACTGAGCTATACCCACCTCCTCAAAGAGTAGCCACTTTAGATTGGGTGTTTAGGGAAGGCCTAATATCCAGTTTTTAGCTGTCAAAATCCATCACTGAGCCTGCTGTATAATATAGCACAGGGAATTATATTCAGTATCTTATTAACCTATAATGGAAAAGAATCTGAAAAAGAATAGATTTATATATAACTGCATCACTTTGCTGTACACCTGAAACATTAAAAATCAACTCTACTTCAGCTTTTTTTTTTAATAGAAAAAAAAATCCATCACTGAGTAGGACTGATCTGCACAGAGCTCTTTGTTGGGGGTTCCTCTAGCCCCATCTCTCTCCCAATATTTAGACAAGGGACATTTTGCCTCTTCCCTTCCCTTCACAGGGAAACCCTCCCAAACCCAGAAAGCACCAATCAACACAGACTGCTACATTTTACTTTATTTCGCACATAATGAAATCAACCAATGGACTAAGCAGTTCCAGAACTGTTAAAGAGTTCATTAATCAAAAAGTAAATGAGGTGAAAATGCAAATTTTTCATTTCCTCCCAAACATATACTGAAAGTATCACAAAAACTCCTAACAACACATGCAACACAACACAGGCTGGTTTCAACAAAGAGCCCAGGAAAGAAGGGTAAATCCTGAAGATCCACGCAGGTCAGACTAGGAGCAGTGCTCCAGGAGGCTGGAATCCACCCAGCCAGTCACTCACCCTGCTTCCATACATATCTGCTCTGTGAAGTTCTCTCCCCTTTGTCAGGTTCAGATCCAAGCAGCTTTCATCTCACATTCCAGGCTCATCATTTTCCCCCATTCCAAGGTGGATAATCCATCCACAGAAATCCAGGCAGATCCAAATATACTTGCTCAGCTGTGTTTCGAGTAGCATCACCACAAGCCAGGTTCCGCTCAAATTCTGTACAGGAAGTTCCCATTGCTGTCAAAGAACTCTCGCCCCCTCTGTACTACTTTGTTGCTAAAGTTCTGGTCATCTGGCTCCCCTGCCTTCAACTCTTCCAGCTTCCTGTCACTCGGCCATCCATCAAAGTCAGTTGCCCTGGTGCCCTCACAGTCACTGGTGGAGTACTTCTGCAGCTCTCTCGGATGACCTAGGGCTTCAGTAACAGGCATGAAGCTCTCCTCCTCCAGGCCCTGGATTCCTTTATTCCTTCCCTTCTGTCTCCTTGGTGTATTTGTACTGTGAGTGTTCGATTTGATCACCCTCAATGCTGTGATGTGACCATGGCCTTTGGATGAGACTTCATCCCCCGGCATCAGCAAAGAGCCTGATACAGAATGGCCTGCAGAAAGTGGTTTCAAGGTAACCCCAGAGCCTGGGAGCTGCCAGAGCGAGGGGGCAAGCCTAACTTTCTTAAGGACTTTTTGATCCTGCTTCAGTTTTTGTTCCAATGTGGGTACAAACTTGCTTTTTAAAACCCTTCTAATCACATCGGTGCTGACCTCAAAGCCTTCAGCCAATCTGGGAACTGACCAGGACTCTGCAAATTCCTTATGTAAATACCTATGAAAAAAAGAAACAGGTTTTCAATCTGTGAAGTCTCCTATCAAGATAGTTAACTGATAATACTAGCAATAAATACATGGAAAGAGGGCTTGGAAAAACTGCAAACATAGTCTCTATTTTCTGCTACTAAATGGCTGTGTTCCATTTCTGTGCGCTGACAATACTCAGCCACTCAAGTAACTTTATTTCATATCAGCTGACCACCTCCCACTGCATACCAGGCCCCAGTTAAAACCTGGGGATGCATGAAGACTGTCCTTCTCTTCAAAGAACATACAATCTGGTGGTGGAGACAGATAAGAACACTATGACAAGTGTCACAGCAGAGGATGCTGTGAGAGCACTCAGAGACCCAGGGACAGGCTATCACAACACTTGCAGTGTGGCCCAGGAATTGCTTCAGGAAGTCTGTGCTAGAGCTGGTCTGAAAGGCTGAGCCTTAATAAGCTGGCAGAGGGGAGTGGGGAGGAAGAAGAGCAAAGGTAATAATGGCAGAGTGAGAAGCATGTGAAATACAAAATGCACATCACCTTTGTTGGGAACAGCTCAACTTGTGTGACAGTGTGAGAAGGAGCAAGATAGTATCATGAATAGTGATTCTGGAGTTTATCCCAAAGCAACAGTGAAGAAAGGATTTTAAGTGGCAGAATGCCATGAACAAATTTTCCTATTGAGGCTCAGTTCAGTGGTGTTGAAATGGAGGCAGTCATCAATTAGGTAGGGATCTGACCTAGAGAACCCAGAGGATTGGTTCTAGACTAGTGAAGAGCTACCACTTCCCCTGAGATGTGAATAAAGTGTAAGGTAATGGGAATGGAAGGTAAGGAGGAAGACCAAGAAGCTTTAAACGGTTCTTACCTAATGGCCTGTTTTTTTTCTTTGTAGTAAAAGGATATTTATATTGATCACAAAAGGGGAGGTGATAAGTAGGAAGATGTAAGCGTTGAAAAAGCTGGTATCCAAGACAGGAGAGGAAGCTGACAGGACAAAGGTGCTACAGCCTCATAAAATCTTGATCAGCTCTCACAATCCCCTTTACTCTAAGTCTCAATTCCAGAGTCATTCTAATGGGAATGGAAAAATGGTACATGACCTATGGAGGGCTACTTAGCAATATTTATCAAACGGCAAATCCATTTGCTCTTAGATTCAGCAGATCTACTTCTGGAAATGTACAAAGACTTCTGACAGATATGTGAAATGCTGCATATACAAAGTTATGCACTAGAGCACTACTTGTTACAGCACGTGGGTGGAAACAACCCAAGTGTCCACCATAAAAGACTGGTAAAATAAACTACAGTTTACTGTGCATCTACAAAAAAGAATGAGGAGCTTTCTCTTGGGAAGTGTAAAAATATGTTAAGTAAACAAAGTGCAGAACAGCATAGTATTACACTGTGATTAAGGAAGTGAAAATAAAATTCTATATTCATACTTGCTTGTTTGTATTTGCATAAGGAAACCTAGAAAATGACACAGAAAACTTTATTTAAAATAGTCTCCAGAGGAGACTGGGTGGGATTAATACTTCTTAATACATGTCATGTTATACTGTTCTAATTTTGAGCCATATGTAATACATTATCTATTCAAAACAAAAAACTTCACATTTACAAAAGGATCTCTTTTCAAATATATGGATCCTCCCTTCAGAGAAATGAAACCATGGAAGCTCCATCCCTGGAACTTAGTCAAGAACGTCATGATCTACTTTGAAGGAGTTAAATGTTGTGACGCCTGCAATTTACTATTTAAAAATTTCAGCAAAAATGAACCATGTCAGAAAGTTAAAAACTATTAAAGCTAGATGAGGGTCTTAGGGAAGTTCGTTTTATTTCACTTTTCTGTTAGAAATCTTAAATACTAAAAAGTAAAAGATACAAAAACAGCGTTCTAGGCCCCAATATCATTCACTTCTCATCACAGCAGATCCGAACTACCAAGAGTCTTACCGGATCTGCTCCATGGCTTCCCACGTCAGGGTCCTGGGCGGGGCACCTGGCACCTCCATTTGCCTTCGAATTTTCTGGAACCGGATGGCTTTTTTCTGTCGTTTCAGGGCGCTAGGGGAGAGAACCAATGGCAGCAGCCATGCGTGGAAGCTAGATGGGTAGTTTAAGAGCCTTGGGCTAAACACAGGGCGCCCATCCCGCATCTCTTTGCAAGGGCAACCTGGCCATATAAGCCAGCCCAGATTTGCTCAGTACACCGCCCCGTAAGTCTAACACCTAGAACAACAGCAGCCCACAAGCTGCTGCCGAATTCTCTAAGCGGGCGATGAAATACGTCACTGGTGAAGGGACCCGTGGTCCCAAGGGAGCTAACACTCTGCGCCCCTGACAATGGGTGAGAAATAAGGGCCACTGCGGACGCCACGGCAGAACGCCTATGAGCCAACAGGGCGAGGCCTGGGGCGCCGGGGTACGAGGCTCTGTTTCAGGCTGAGGGCCCGGGAAGGAGCTGGTACCTCTCCACCTCCTGCAGCTCCCGCTCCTCCGGCTCCCAGTCAGAATCGGGGTCCGGCTCACGGCCGATAGAGCCTGGGCTCGCCACCCCTCGGGTCGCGAACCCACAGCGAGCGACCGCTGCACGTACACGCCCGCCCAGCAAGAGGTTCAGAGCAATCGCCATGTCGACAAAAACAGCTCTCAATAACCCAAAATGCTTCAGCACCGGAAGCCAGGAGCGGCACCGGAAGTAACGGGGGCGGGCAGGAAGCTGGGTTGATTGCGCCTCCTTCCCGCTTCCGGCTGAGGGCGTGACTTCAGAGCTTGAACCGTTCCAAGGCCCACCCTTCCTGACTGTAATTATGGAGAAGACTTCCCTACCATTCGCGGGCCGGAATGAGGTAGAGGACACGCCTGCAAAACGGCATAAATTTTAATAAAAAGACGGGTTCAATTGCCAAAAGCTGCCCCTCTGCCCCAACGGCTGCCCAGGCCGTCCTGTCTCCGCCACGGCGGCGGGAAGGGCGTCCTCTTGGCGGTCCACTGATGGCGACAGTCCCGTACCGTGGGGACTCGGCTCCTCTGGGAAAGGGGCTTCTTGTCTCCCAGATAACCTCCCGTCCCGGGCCTCACCCAGGGGTCAGACCCATCATCTAGTGGTAAATCCAGGCTGAGGTTTGAAGGTTAGAGATGAGCACATCGCCCTGGCTCCTCTTCATCTTATAGTCTTTACTGATCTGGAAATAATCTTATGGAATTGAGGAATTATGGGCGTCTTTGTGTTTTGCTTTATGCAAATAGGGTTCCTGGCCAGGGCTTTTAAAACTGAACTTTGGTGGCAGTCTGAGTTAGCAAAGATTGAAGACCCTTTGCCCCTTTGGAAACCTGAAGGGGGCTCTCCAGGAGAGCCTGAGTGCTGGGCTTCTTTCCTGCATTTACCTGTGGTGCTTGCTGTCCAGGAGTGCAGGGTTGTGCTACAGCAGGGGTGCAGAGGCAGGGCAGAGGGTGAGATCCTGGGCCTTGGCTGCTCTGTTTCCAGAGTCTAGCATGGAGGGCAAGGTGCATTCAATCCATAAGCCACTTACCACTCTTTCCCGTTGCAGAAGATGGCCCTGGCTTGGGGTTAAAGAGGGTGACACTCGTCCTGCCAGGGCTTGGTTTATGGCTTCTAGTCTTCTGCTGGCTTGGCCTTCTGCAGTGGAAACATGGGTCCCCCTGAGTTGATATTCACCCAAGAGATTTGCTCACCTCTTTCCCAACTGTTGCCCAGTTCCCAACACAGAGGAATGGCATCCCATGCTTCCCTCCAGCATCTGTACCACGCTGTATTGTAATTGGTGTGTTTACTTGTCCACAGCCCTGTTACTGTTTGTTGAGTGCTGTGGACTGTATTTCTGCTATTTCTATAACCAAGGTCTAGTACATAGGAGGTAAATAAATGGGTCCAGTACCTTCCTCATTCCCACACTGCTGGAAGTGCCATATAATATTTTGGAAGCATCCCAGCTGTAATGTTTGCTAGTGGGAATTTGCACGAGTCAGAGTGACCAAAGCTGGTTTTGCATACTTACGGCTTGTAAGGCTGACTCTGGCACTGGGAAAATAGTGCCTTCCAGATGTCTTCATTGACAATGAACAGAGGCTGATGGCTGCTGGAGCTCTTATCCAGTTGAAGTTCTTGGGCTGCAGATGGCACCAGGAATGATGTGGAACTGCAGCATTCATGCTTGACGGTGGCCCTACGATCCTGGGGATCAACTCGTGGGGCTGAACTGGATGCAGGAAGTGAGGAACCTGCTCTTTGGCAGCCCTTCTCAGGAGGACCAATGGGACCAAACTCACAGATTGCAGTTCTTGACTGCCCAGCCTGTCCTGGTGAAATCTAGGCTAGAGGAGAAGAGCAGCCCCTTACCACATTTCTTGTGAGTCTGGATGGAATGGTGGAAGAAAATAGGTAACTGAAAAAAATCTCTTCTAGGCTGTGGCCACTATTTAACCAGCTACTCCTTTGGGGTTCAACAAAAACAGAGGACCCAACAGGTTTTCTACTAGCCGAGGGAACAGTGAATTTGGCAGCTGTTTTGTTGGCCCAAAACTGTTTACTTTTCTCCCATTAGAGCCATGGCACTGGCAGTGATAGGGACGAATTACACAGAGGCCACTGAGGGTGGTGGCCTTGTTAGTTGTCAGTCATGAGTTTGGGTTACTGCAAGACAGGAATATAGAGAACAAGTCTCTTGTAAGTGAGGAGGTTGGGAGCTGCACTTTGCTGGATGTCATTACTAAAAACAAGGGAGCTTGGGAACAGATGCAAAAGGAACCAACAGACCCTTTCCCAAGGCCAGGCATACCCTGCTTTCCCAGGCTCCACTGCCAGATACCATCACATTAGCCTCCTTGGCTGTGGCCACCACCATGTGCCAGTACAGCCCTTGTTCCCTTGTTCTGTGAGAGGCTGTGTAGGGACTCTCACCTGATACTCGTGAAGTTTTTTCTGGCCCTGGTGGCTGGGGTGCAGAATGTGGGTGAGCTGCTCTACAATACCCAGACTTCGGATGAGATTTTCCCTTTGTAGCAGGGCCTTCATCCGCTCCAGCTCCTCCTCTTCCACAATTTCTTGAGGCTGCATGGTGTCCAGGTGTACTGGTGGCAGCTGCAAGGTACATGAGAGATGAATGCAGGATCTCCAGTAAGTCCCCAATCATCCACAAAGATGGTTGCAAGACTCCTGCCCGCTCTATCTTTGTCCCTTCCCTGACCTTAGTGGGAGGGTCCCTTTGCTATCCACTCTCTCACCTCCTGGTCCAAAAAGTCAGATTCAGTGTACTGATTAGGAACTCATCTCTCTTGTACAGGAGGAGAAGAGACTCCTTTTCTCTAGTAGTCCCAACCTGTTTTCCTGCAGAAAAGCAAGAGCCACAAAACCCCTGACACCTCTTTCTCCCGGTTCCGGTTCCTGTAAGCCAAGTGGGTGGAAAGGCTCCTGAGCCGGGCCCTGGATTGGCTCTTCTCCCCTGCTGATTCACCCTGGTTCTGGTCCTTGTTTTCCTTTCGTCTCTTATTGCCTGAGGTCTCCTGCTGTTCCTGCTTAAGGCGGATCTCTTCCAGTTGCTGCCTGACAAGACATAGCAGCTTCAGATACTGGAGAAATTGTGTTCGGGAGAAGAGGGGTGAGGGAAAATAGTGATGGGGAGAAAGCAGGAAATTATGATCTGCTCTGAGGACTGATGGGAAAGGAAGGAGGGGGAATATGGGGAAACCTACTAAACTGAGTCATTAAGAGTCTGATAGAATTTATAACTCCATTCCTCTTTCCTCAAGTATCTGGCTTCCTCTCCTCCCTGCAGAGGAGCAGTTCAGCTTCAGGATTTGCCCCCACACAAGTGGACAGAGGAGACTGCAGGGCAAAGTACCTGGCACACTCCTCTCTGGCCTTGGAAGCAGCCGTCTCCTGGAAGAGGGAGCCATTGTGCTTGAAGAAGGGTGCATACTTCTCTGTGTCGGGCCCAGGGTAGATCCGCCGGTACCCCCCAAGGTGGGCATCCTCATAGCGTTCCTGGTCCAGCAGTGCTGCATGGGATGACTCACTTTGTTCTCGCCTATGGAAACCAAGCTCAGGGTGAATCAGGGAAGGGCTATGAGAATGTTCAACAGGGAAAGGAAGGCTGGCTAAAGCATTGAGAACCTCCTAACTTCATGGCCTTTCTGGCCCCTGCCTGTGTGATGAAAGCTGCCAGGCCCATCTGTGGCCAGTCCCACCTGTGTGTAGCCATGAAAACAGGCTTGACTTCCAGAAATCTGGTTTTCATCATAAGTACAAAGGCATCCATTCATAAACTAGCACTCCAAGTTATCATAATATTTTAGGTTTCTGATTACAGAGTAGTATATGTTAATTACAGAAAATTTAGAAGAGCAGAAGGAAGCTAGAAACCTCTAATCTTACTGTGAAATTAGCATATTGGCTATGAGCATGGACTCTGGGGCAGGACTTACTGAGTTTGAATCCTGGCTTTGCCACTCACTTGTTCTTTATTCCCTCCTTTCCTTCCTTGTTTTAGAAGAAAATGGGATCATACAACATTTTAAAATGGCCTAGTATTCTAGTGAGTCTATGATTGTACTTTTATTAAGTCCAGTAGTTTTTAACCTTTTTCCCCATTAAAAGGCATGATTCCTAACAGTCACATGCACCATCAGTCTCATGAGAATATCTAGGGTATCTACAGTTACACTTCACCTTTGTTCACACTTGAACATCTGAATGCCTGCTGTGTGCCAGGCCCTCAGGATATCACGGCAAATCAAATACACACTGGTCCTGCATATTGCAATGCAAGTGGTGACGAGTGATGCTATTATAGAAATAATCCTAAATCGATTCCAGTTCATTTTTATTATCATTAATGAATTATAATTTGGTGTCAGCAACAAATTACCATGTTTTAAACCCATCTTAAAATTAAACAACAGTGGGTAAACAATACTGATTTAAACATTACACTATTATTGAATAACTAAATGTTTTCTGTGTTTTTTCGTTATAAACTTTCTTAGGAAATGGTTTCTAGAGGAGCTTTGTTTAAAAAAAAATGGCCAATAAGACCACATAAAGTTCCTTATGTGCTAATATGAAATAGCTCTAAAATACATTGGGTACAGAGTGTGAGAAAGTTATGTTACTGTCTGGGTGGATAAAGGGAGAAAAACAGTTTATATAAATACACATATATATGTGCATAAATGTTTGTGAAAGTATATACATGACCCAAGAAACATTGATTGGCTCCAGGGAAGAAAACTGAGTAGTTGGAGGAGGAGGGTAGGAGAGAGACTATTCACTGTGTCTTTTGAATTTTGAAGATATTATCTATGATACATGATGTATTATCTATGCAAGAAAATTGTTTTTAATAGCTAGTTAGCCCCAGGCTGCCGTCTCCATCTAGAGAAGGACTTATACTCTCAGGAAACTAATAGCAAGGAAGGTAAGTTACATGACTAAACACATGTCAAACACCTGGAGCCCTTGGCTTCTCTTGGCTGTTGGTGGCACTGGAAAAGCCTCTCCTTGACTCGCCGCTTGTCCTCCTCTATCACCTTTCTTTTGTCACAGCCTCGGAGGTTGATAAGAGTCATGGCATCACAGAGAAGTGCATCCTTCACTTCCCGATCAAGGCGTGAGTCAGTGGTGAAGCTTGGAGAGTGGTTTACCTGCCAGGAGGAGTAATTATCCATCCCTTTCCTAGTCCACCTGAGCAGGTCATGATTCTTGCAGGCCCAGCTGGAGGGTCTAGGAGACATCCCCCTCCAGTGGCCTCAACCAGGGAGTCTCAATGTTCTGACTTCCAAGGCCACAGGACTCTGCTACAGAGATCCCTCCAACACACAGGCTGGTGAGAGTAAATCAGACAGCCTGACTACAGCTATAGTGTCCTTAAAGGCAAGGCTTACATGAGGAACACTTGGGATCCAAAACCTGGATTGTTATGTGGAGACCAGAGACCACCAAGACTGGACTCAGCAGGTCAAAAGTGCAGAGATATTACACTTTCTAGTTCCTGTCCACCCTTGTGCCTCTGTGTCCCCCATTCTCTGTTCCACCACCTGCGTACACTTCTATCCCAGGTGTCCTGTTCAGGGGCGGACCTTGGTTTTGTAAAGCCCAGGAGATAATCCTCACCTCCAGCAGCCAGGGCTTCAGCTTGTGGTCCAGCAAGATGTCAAAACCAAGAATCTCAAAACAGGCACATGTACCTCCACTCAGATATTGGGGAAAACAGGTTCGGTAGTTGTGGCGAAGAACAGAATGTGCCGAGATGATGGTTTTGATGATGATGTCCTCGATGTCCCCCCACAGCTCTCGGGGGTCGTAGCCATGCTCTCGCAGCCAGGTGTTGAGCGTCGACAGCTTCCTGTGAGGCCCAGTGCTCAGAGGAAGACCAGTGGGGACTAACACTAACCCTAATTCCATGTGTCGGTTTCTTGTGCTTTAAAGGGCTGCCATGAGCTTGGAGCAGGGCTTAGTTACAGGGTGGGGTTTGGGCTGCCCTTGGTGGTCAGGCACAGTACAGGGGTCTATAAAGGCTGAGCCAGCTCAACTTCACATGAGCCATCTCAGTTTCATGGGCTGCTGAGACTGTGGGGCTAAAGGACAGAGAGAGGAGAAAACAGAGTAGGGCATACCTCTTACTGCCCACAGCATCATCCCGGACAAAATTCTCATTGTGTTTGTTGATAGCATAGTTGGTCAGGTGCATGCAGACGTCATCCTGGGAAGACAGTGGCCATGTGGTCTCAGACTGCTTCCACTCAACTCTCCTCTCCAGCCCTTTGTTGCCTTTTGATTGCCCTCCCCTCCCCAGGATGGCTCATCTCCTGTCCCTCTTCACCAAGGACTGTCCTGTAAGCTGGGGAGGAGAGTGTGCCATTCCTGCAGGCATGGCCTTTCTGCAGTCACCACCCCCTGAATGCTCTCTTCCCAGCTAGGTGCTGAGGTGCTCACAGGTTTCAATGCCTGTTCATGCATGACAAGTTAGCTGCGAGACAAGCCTCTACCTGGTTTTTCCATAGAACCTCAGCACTACTGGCAGTGGAAGAGAAGAGAGTGCTGCCCCGCCTCCCAGCACTGCCAGCTGGCCCCTCACCAGGTTGTTGTGGCTGCGCTCCACGTAGGGCACGGTGGCAAAGCGGGCCAGGCCCTCCTCATACATGAAGATCCGAAGAGGGTCACAGGATGTGATCAGGACGTAGATTCGCATATCAAACTTGAAGCCGTCAATGAGGAAGGGCTGAGAGCATGCATATCCACCGGGGAAAAATAATAATACAGTGGTCCCTCAGTATTGCAGGGGATTGGCTCCAGGACACCTCAGGGATACCAAAATCCATGAATCTCATATAAAGTGGCATAGTACAGTCAGCCCTCCATAGCCGCAGTTTCCACATCTGTGGCTATGGAGGGCTGACTGTACTTTTTAAGTACTTAATATGTTCCACCAACTGTTGTAAGTGCTTCAAATACATAATAACTCATTTAATTTTCACAATAACCGTATAAAGTAGTTACTGTTTTTATACCCATTAATAAATGAAGAAACTGAGGCCTGGAAAAGTTAAGAAATTTGCTCAAGATCACATATCTAGAAAGTAAAAAAACTCAGATTCAGAGCAGGTTGGCTCCACACTGCCTCCAAGATTGACGTGGGATAGCAGGAAGGGTGGAGGCCTAAAACTAGCCTCCCTGGCTTTGGGAAAGACGGGGCACCCCAGTGCTGGCAGAGGGACCTGGTGGTACTGAGGCACCCTTCACCTTGGAGATGTACTGCTGGCAGATCATATGCTCTCCTGGCTTGATCTCCCGTGGATTTCGGGTGATGAAGATGCCACGTCCCTGGCAGCCACTGTCTGGCTTGCAGATATAAGTGCGGGTTTTTCGCTGACGACCATAGGACTGGAAGTCCCCGTAGCTATGTGCAGAGAGGGGCTGGTCAGAGGGTTTCTGTGCATGATGGCTGTCCCTGTGGACTTCTTCCTGTTATCCAGTCTATGCTCTTGCTGGAGTACTCAGTCTCACACCTACTTTTCTTTTCATTTTTTCCCCCCTGGGTTTTTTTTTTTTTTTGAAGTTGAAGTATAGTCG